CATCGAGGTAAAGTAACAACTTTACATAGTTCACTACTAGTAGTATATATAGATTCCCAAAAGATGGTATAAATGGTCCCATGAAATCTAATTCCCAAACATCAAATATTTTAAGTTCTAGTATATAATTGAGGGGCATCTCATTTCTTCCAGAAATATTGCTTCCTCGTTGGCATCTAACACAATTTTTAATATAAGCATTAACAACTTTAAAAATAATAGGCCAATAGAATCCAGATTGTAAAATTTTTTATGATGTCTTATCAACACCAAAATGTCCCCCAAAATCAGAATTCTGACATTTTTGGATAATTTCATAAGTTTCTTCTAATGGTACACATCTTCGAATAATCAGATCATTTCCTTGTTTATATCATATAAAAATAGGTCATCCAACAAATAAGTCTTAGCTTCAGATAAAACTTTTCTCTTTTGTTGGTATGTCACTCATAGGGTATAATATCACTAATAATAAAGTTCAGAATGTCAGCATACCACGCAACACACCACTCATTAATATTGAACAATTTTTCATCTGGAAAATGTTCATTAATTTGTTTTTTCAAAATAGAGTGGTTTTTCTAGCTCAAGTATGGACAAATGCTCAGCAATTTGATTTTAAATTCTCTTTTGATCTACTATTTCAAAATCAAATTCTTGTAAAAGAAAAATCTATCTTATAAGTCTAGGTTTAGCATCCTTCTTTTTCATTAAGTACTTAATAACAGAATGATCTGTAGGTACTACACAATGAGTTCCAATTAAATATGATCAAAATTTATCAAAGGCATATACTATTGCTAATAACTCTTTTCCAGTTTTTATATAATTAATTTGAGTTTCTAATTAATTTGAGTTTCATTGTTGTATAATTAATTTGAGTTTCATTAAGAGTTTTACTAGCATAGTAAATTACTTTAAACATCTTTGTTCTAAAACGTTCTAAAACAACTCCAATAGCATAATTATTAGTATCACATATCAATTCAAAAGGTTTTTCCCAATCTGGTGAAATTATAATTGGTGCAGTGACTAATTTTTTTTTAACAATTCAATAGCTTTTATGCATTCCTCATCAAAATTGAAAATTGCATCTTTCTCCAGTAAATGACATAAAGACTTAACAATTTTTTAGAAGTTTTTAATATATCGTCTGTAGAATCCAGCATGTCCTAAAAAACTTTTAATTCCCCTTACATTTATTGGATAAGGTAAATTAGCATTGGATAAGGTAAATTACCCTTACATTTATTGGATAAGGTAAATTAGCGATCACTTGAATTTTAGCAGGATTTACTTCCATACAATTTTCTGATATTTTATGTCATCTCCTACCATAAATTGCTATCATAAATTGGCATTTTTCCCAATTAATGACAAAATTTGTTTCTTCACAACGCTTAAGAACTTTTGATAAATGTTTTAAACATGAGTCAAATGAAGTTCCAAACTCAAATGAAGTTCC